CTGTGTGTTTATAAAATCTTGTTTGTAATTTGAGCGAGCACATTGAATGCATGGGGGAGTCTTAGAACTCAAGATTCCCAGCTGAACAAACCTGGGTTGCATAAATTGTATTGTTCTAAAATAAAAGCTACCAAATTGAGAAACTCCCATTACAGTTGTTACTAATAATAATTCGTGAATCACAAGAACTTTTCCTCACCTGATAACAAGTTTCAATTAAATAAATAATAGTCGTGATTAATTATCAATAATAGTATAGGTTTATTTATTTATAGTCCCGATAGCTTATTATTAATCTTGATTGTTGATTAATTTGGAAGCACCCTTAGTTAAATCAAGATTAAGGATTCCTTTGAAAACATGCAAAAATTTGACCAAGGATGCTTCCAAAAAAATTCAACCCCACCATGGTGTTTTTAGTTAAAAATTGCTACAAATTGGCAAGATTTATAATACAGAAACAAATAAACATTTTTTAGACCAGTAACACTTAAGATATAAAATTAAAAAGAGAGAAATTCATTATCTCAAACACACATACAGTGTAAAACTCAAATTTCCATTAAAACTCAACTCTTCTTTTACAATGAAAAGAACACATTTATAGGCTAAAGGGCATTAAATGAAAAGAATTAACAGTCGGGAGTTGCATGAAGTTGGTTAGGTGATGTTGGCCTCCATTGTTGACATTTTGGCCATTTATTTGTTAAGTTTTTTATTTTTTTGGTGGTGTTTGGACAGCTTCGCAATCCAACACTGTTGAAGTCCTCAACTGCTTCTACACCTGAAAATCCCGACGGTGTTTCCTCAGGGAAAACACTCTGACGCTCAAGTCAGCAATACTCAATATTCTAGAGAGAGGTGCTCTCAAAGAGTAATTGCAGAGAGAGAAGCGTAGTGGAGTTAATACCTTGCATGGAGGTAGTTGGAGGGTATTTATAGCCCCAAGTGCTGACATGAGGTCAACCATGTATTCACCCGATTGGTCCACGTGTTACTGCCCACATGGGCATGTCTCCTCATCTTGGGCCAGTGGGTGTATAATTGGGCCTGTTGCATGTGGCCCAAAGTGAGTGTTGGGCCTAATCCCAACATTACTCCCCTCTCAGTGTTCGGTTGACGAACTGGGTTGAGAGTCTCACTAGCACGGTGTCTGACCCTGGGGATGAGGAGTGACGTCTTTGGTGCATGACCGACCTCACGCACAGCAGATCTGGGCGACCTAAAACTAGTGTGCCTGGTCTGATGTGTATGTGTATACCGGCTTCCTACCGAGCAGGCGTGAGGAAGCTGGTGTTAAAACAAGGCGAGCTCGGTGCTAATCAGCGAGCTGAGCAAGAGCGCAAGGGCGAACTTGCATAATGATTTTTTGTAGCAGAGCGAAGGCGAACAGATAGTGAACGAGCTGAAAAAATCAACCCAGACGGGCTGAAATCAGCGACCTCAATCGTCACTATAATGAAGATCTCTGGGATATAGAGTAAATTTGAGGGAGTTGGTGATGATCTAGCGTTTGTCGTTCAAAACTAAGGTAAATCTCTGATTTGATACGACATGATCTTTAAAGATTTCTAAGTTGAAATCTCTGAAAAGATCTCGGATCTGTCATGAGCTGATCCTTGAGATTTGTTACAAGCTGATCCCTGAGATTTGTTACGACCTGATCCTTGGGATTTTTCAAACCTCAAACAGTGGCGTATCTTTGAGGAGATTTGCTCAGGGCGTTTGGTATTCTTCTGCCAACAATAGATATCCTTTTGCCTCCCCGCAATAAATGCTAGCTTAGCATTTGAAGAGATGTGACAGCTAAAGCCGGCGGGTGTTACACGCCAGGCAATAAGTGACTACCACGCGTAAAGCTTTGAGTGGTTGACAGAGAGGCGCGTACGGTGATTATGGCATGGCGCTTAACCCCTTTGTCACTTCTGTTTTTTCTTTGGCATTTGTGTTTCCATATTCTTTACACTCCTTTGCAGCAAAAGACTCCCAAGCTTTTCAGGCGACATTTCCAGAAGATTTCACAGTCGACTTTTTCAGGTAATAACAAATGGAATATGTTAGAGAAGTTGGAGAACTCCGGGGTAACCAGGGTATAGAAGAGGAAGAATGCGTGATGTTTGTAGAGCCGATTGCAATGATTGTATTGTCGAAAATGCAGGACTTGCCGAAAACCCTTACACCCGAGAGTAGTGCCAGTTCAAGCGCACGAGAGGGTGGCGACCACCACACTTCATCGTCCAGCAGCTCATCCTCTGAAGAGACACCCAACCACGAGGAAGAGACGGGGAATGTGGTTGGCAATGAACCTGTAATACCCCAAAATTTCTAGAGCATTAAGTGACAGTTAAGGACCTAATTGTGAAGAAATACTATTAATGAACTTAATGGCAAAAATTTTCCAAGTTCAGGGACTAAAAAGAAAACAAATTAGGATAAGGATTAAGCTTAGATATTTTTTCTTTTCTTCCTCATTTTCACGCGGTTATGCTCTGTCTTCTTCCCGATCCTTCATCCCGAAAAGCCCCTAAGCCACCGACTTTCTCCCCTTGAAAAAAACCGGTGAAGGCCTCTTGAAATTTCCCTCCTTTCTTGCTCAAAAACCAAGTTGCAGGCCTAGAACACTCTCCTAAACCCAGAAATTTTCCAGATCTGCGCTGTCCTCTTCCCCTCTGTCCGCCGGCCTCTGCTGTGTGGGGTTGGGTTCGGTTTTCTGGTAAGATTCAACCATGAATTCCTCTCTTTAACTTTGATTTAGCTTGGGTTAACTTTGGTTCTCCAATATTTGGCTAGTCCGTAAGTTCCCCTATAGCTTGCCATCGACTTCTTCTTCTCCCTGCAGCTCCGGTTTTAGCTGGAAAATTCTAGTATGGACAGCCCTCTTAAGTTCGAATTTATCAATTAATTGTTGTCCAATTAGTTGCTCTGTGTGGTCCGAGATCCCGCCGGAATTATGGGATAATTGTGGGTAGCATAAAATGTGTTTTTAAGCTTGGGTTAAGTATAAATTGCTTGATTTGGCTGCTGTGAATTTTCTGGAGGAAATCCTGTGTCTTAGGTATTGTTTTGCAAAAGACAATTGATTGAATACAAGTCATGTTCTTCCATTTTTTCTGTCTGTGGAAGTAGAAATCCAAATTGGGTTTTCTCGGTTGATGGATAAATGTAATTTAGGAGCTTTTGAGTGAAATTAGGGATTGATCTATTGATTAGACTCGGGTTTAAGAGGGTTTGTGACCATTTTGCTCATAAGTTACCTTTACTGTTCATGTGCACTGTTTGCGGATACTGTTCATAGGCACTGTTCACACACCGAGGGTTAACAATTAACGAGGATTTAAATGATTAGTTTGTGATATAAGAATAAATTTGGAGAGGTCCGGTTATGTGGAGATTGATAGGAATAATATCGTGATTAGGGATTAGTCATTAGTCATGATGATTTCAACTTGAATTTGTGATAGTCCGGTATTAATTCTGAGGTGTTTTGATTAGGTTCCCGATCGTTCTGCCAGTTAGCACCGTGAATTGAGCCTTTGGTTTTAAGCGAGTGAGGTAATTAAATTTATGGTAATGCCCATACTGTTTTTCAAAAAATGTTTTGACTTGTTTTTGAAGTGGTGGTGGGACTAAACCCGTTTTATGCAAAAGTACGTATGAGTGATTTGAAGTGAAGTTTTATGCTTTTCATTAAATTGAGCATGCCTACTTGAAATTTAATTGATTGCCCCGATGATTTGAAAGTGATTAGTAAAGCATGATTTTCTGTTAACTTCTGCCTGTTTTGTCTCCTATACGGTCATGTTATCCTGTTGCCCGCTAGTGGGAGGTTTAAATGCTAGCACATGTCGACATGTTCCTGATAGAACCGGTTTATTCCTGTAATCCTACTAGTAGGAGTTAAACACTAGTAATTCCTGTTGCCTGCCAGTGGGAGGTTTAAACACTGGCCATGACCTATAGAGGAGACGTCTATTTCGTTCCCGTACTTGTATCCGTTTTCTGATTACACTTGTTGGCATGCTATAAGTTTAATTGACTACTACTAAACTTTATTCTGCATAATGGTTATCATTGAGCATTCCGTTTATGTTTAAACTGTTTATCTGAAATGCTCAAATTTTACCCACGGGCTATCCATACATTTACTTATTGAGATATTTTATCTAATGATTTTCCCTTGTCCACCATTTCAGGTAGCATGACCCGAGACACAGAAACCACGGGAAGTGACGAGTTAGAAGGCTAGCCATTTCGAGATTGATATAATTTTAGAAATAAATCATGTTTTTTGTAAGATAGATTGTACCTTGAATTTTATGGTATTAAAACAGATTTTGCAAGAATAGAGTTTGGGATTTGAATAAGTTCCGAGCCTTGTGCGTTTGTGGGACCCGTCTCACGAGTGCACGGCGTCTGTCGCGCTTTGGATCTGGGTTATGGGGTGTGACAGAACCAGATCTGCCCGTGGTTGGAGAATGGGAAAATAAGGCAATCACGGGTAGATTGAGTAACCTACGCAAGGCGCCCAAAAAACTGCCTTCAGGTTTTTCAGGGCGGCGCTTCACCACGAGGTGGCAAATAGCGTGCCCTCGATAAGTGGGTATAAGAGACTGGAGGAGATGGTGAGGTTGTACTAGATCCCCAGAACGATATTGCTCCGAGCTGGTGCACAGAATGAGAGGGCATGCACGGTGTCACAGATGGGTTGGATACCAATGTACGTGGATCATTTTGAGGCCGGCTTGCGATTTTCCCTACCCGAGCTAATATTTGATCTGTTGGCGGATTACAAGTTGGCTTTGACGCAGCTGACGCCCAACAACATAAGGTTCATCATAGGCTTTATGCTGTTGTGTGCGAAGGTGGAGATACCGACCAAGGCGATTGTGTTCAAGTCGCTGTTCCAATGCTGGCTGTGTCCCAACTCTAGAGGCACCAAGTGGTATTACCTCTCTGGGAGGGAGAAGAGCCAGCTCTTCAAAAACGTCAGGAACAAAGTGGCGAGGTGGAAGAGGCAGTTCGTCTTTGTTCATGATACACGAACAGAAAGAATAAACGATGACATCGCTGCTCGCCTCTCTGAATGGCGCGTGCTGAACGCGCATGTAAACTACCCCCAACTGTTGCTTCGGGATACAAACTTGAAAAATCAGCGGCTAGAGTATGCGAGGAGGGAGAATTTAATAGACTTAAAAGCCCTGGTTACCTCAGAGCAGCTTGCAGTGTTTGGGTTTGTCGACGTAGCAAACTAGTTCACAGAAGGTATATTTTTATCATACACTGCGAATTCTAGTCGAGCTGAGTCTTATGCTTTTGTTTGTGCAGGAGAAATGCGCAGCATTTTGGAAAGGCAACATCAACGAGCTCAGGGCTTTAGGAATTGTGGAGCTGGGTCCGGTTCAAATCGTCAAACTCATTTTGACGAACGGCCACCTGCTGCACCAGGGCACAATTTGTCACATAGGAGTTTGGGCTCAGCACCAAGACCACTTGCTAAGCAGAGAGTTGAAATTACGCCCCCTAGTTCAAGGAGGCGCGCGCGGGAGGACTCGGACGCTGAGGATGACATTCCCCTCTTCCGACGAAGGACGAGTACGGGATCCTAGCCCGCTCCAGCCGCTGCAGCGCGACCTACCAACGTGCCCCCAGCGGCAGTGCGTGAGGTGGCTGAAGCAGTGCTTGCCTCATCTTCTGTAGCGAGGCCAAGGATTGCATACCCGGATGGCTTCAGTTATGTAAGAACTGACTGTCAGGCCGCAATGGTACAAGGTGTGTAGAGCTTTGTGCCTCCGGCAGATCGTTAACGTGCTAAGGGGCATGTTCAACAGCATGGAGGTCATGTTGCTTTTTTGAAGCTGATGGATGTAAGTATACTCGCCGAGCTCATTGCTGTATTTTATCATCTCGTGTTTTAAATTGACGAGTGAATGTATATGGCAAGCGTTCAGCTACACTGTCGCACTCTTGAGTGCGAGCAGGGAGCGCGGGTGTAGAATCGCGAACTGCAACAGAACTGCAAACAATTGGCCTCTAAGAAAGCCAGTTTGGCTGACAAGGTCAATCGTTTGCAGAGCTCGGAGATGGTGAACCGAGCGGCGTCAGCAGAAAGCTGAGATGACAAGTTGGCCCGTAAGGTCAATGAGTTGAGAGAAGAGTTGGAAAAGGCTCAAGCAGAGAGGGAGAGCAGCATTAAGGCTGCAAAGGAAGAGGTCGGCCGTGCAGAAGATCGGGCCAGGAAGGCCAAGTCTGACAGAGAGAAGACTCTATATGAGCTGAACGCCCTGAAAGAGAGGGTCATTGAGGCCGACCTGCACGTCGCCCGGGCTGAGGCGTCCTTAGAGAAGACAAAGAGGGTCCATCAGCGTGATGTCTGCTTTGCCCGTGCATAAGGGGCTGAGTGGCTGGTGGGAGCAGATATGTTCCAAGACGCCGTCGTAGTTGCCTCAGCCAACACCACCACAGACATTTTCAATGAAGTTCGTGGAAAGGTGCTGCGACACCGGGCTGACTTCCTAATAGGCGAGCTGGCCTTGTTTGAGGGTGAGGACATTGATGATGAAGGGAAGAGCCTCGCCCCTCCAGTTGACACACGGGTGAGGCTGAAATGGGAACTCAACGAAGAGGAGTTGCCCGTGTGGCCCCTTTCTGTTGCTGAAGAAAGGGAGGACATGGAGGGGTTGCCAAGCTTTGATGCTTGGGTGGCAAACCTCTAAGATGTGCCTGCTGAGCCTTCCAGCACTCCCCCATTTTCTCAGCCTGCCCCGGCCGCTGCTCCTGCTCTCTCTCCTCCAGATCGGTCATCTCTAGCTCGATCTGCTACTGCGCCCACTGACGCATCCATCCCTGTCAACTTGACGGATGATTAGCTTAGGATTTTCGTTGTTTTTTTCATATTATTTTTTGTATTTTTGTGTAGATCAATGAACTCATTCACAATATGTACTTCATGTAAACATCATTGATGAAATACAAAGTTGAATCTTTTCTTTTGAAATTTTTGTGTTGAATTTTCTGTACATTGTCGTTTACAATTGATCAGTAATGACCTGGACAAAGTAATAACATACATGTTAACTGTAAAACTTTCTAAGGTTATGTATGTTCCAAATGAATGGTAATGGATGACCTTGTAAATCTGCTAATTGATAAGACCCAAGTCGCTTAACACAAATAACCATATAAGGACCTTCCCAGTTTGGTGCAAGTTTCCCCATATGCGAGTAAGCATTAGTAAGCCCAGCCTTGCACAAAACCAGATTGCCAACTTGAAATTGACGAGCTCGAACTCGCTTATTATAAAATCTAGCGACACGACTTTGATGCGCCATGTTTCTTATTCGAGACATCTCCTTGACCTCTTCTACAAAGTCTAGATTCTCTCTTAAAAGTTGCTCATTGCTGTGATTGTTGTGTTGACCTGCTCTATCAGATGGCAGTATGACCTTTACAAGGATGACGGCCTTAGCTCCATAGGCAAGCCTGAATGGGGTTTCGCCTGTGGCAGAGCTGGGTGTAGTGCGACATGACCAAAGCACTTTATTGAGCTCGTCAGCTCAATTAGAATGTGCAGCTAAAACACGCGTCTTGAGGCCTCGCAAGACGATTTTATTAGCGGACTTGGCTTGTCCATTTGACTGTGGAGTATACATAAAAGTCAAGGCAAACTCAATGCCATAGTCGTTACAGAACAACCTCAGTGCTGCGGCTCGGAACTGTGGACCATTGTCAGCAATGATCCATTTAGGTATGCCAAACCTGTATACAGATGACCGAGCTGTGCCACAAATTATATGTGTATACAATGTACCAATGGCTTAAGCCACTAAAAGAATACCTGCATAATATTGAATTGAACAGAAATTCCTCTATTTTCTTCTCTGTTGTCGTGGATAATAGTTTGGCTTCTATCCATTTGGTGAAGTAATCCACCGCGACAACGAGGTAAGTGCAACCTCCCTTACCTTTCACGAAAGGGCCGAGCAGATCAACTCCCTATTGAGCAAAAGGCTCAGGTGATGAAAGTGTTGATAGCATTTCTCCTGTTTCAACGGAGATGTTTATATTCAGTTTATGGACAAACATGAAGTTTGCACGAACTTTAAGACGAGCTCAGATACCTGGCATATGGATATCATCAGCATTGAACTGGCAAGTCGGGCACTTTTTGACATAGCTCTATGCGTCCTCGACCATAGTAGGCAAGTAATAACCATGCCTCAGGAGTTTTCGAGCTAAAGTTTTACCACCTATGTGTGTGCCACATACTCCTTCATAAACTTCCCTCACAGCATATTCAGCTTCATAAGGAGTAAGGCAGCGTAATAAGGGCATTGGGGCTGCTCACTTGTAGAGTTGATTATCTAATAGTGTGAAATGTGCCGCCCTGCGTTTAATCAACTTTGCTGTGGATGGATCTTCAGGCAGCTCGCCACTTCGCAGATACTCTATGAGCGGGGTGGTCCAGCTCGGTGAAGAGGGATCTGTGCTTAGCAGCTGACACTCGATTGTGAAATCAGTGTAGCTCGGGGCGTCAAGCACTTCCACAATTATTGATCTCCGAGGGTTGATATCTTGTGAGGAGGCTAATTTTGATAGCTTGTTAGCTCGCTGGTTATCTGCTTTGGGTATCTTGTCGATCTGGAAAGATACTCTATGAGCGAGGTGGTCCAGCTCGGTGAAGAGGGATCTGTGCTTAGCAGATGACACTCGATTGTGAAATCAGTGTAACTCGGGGCATCAAGCACTTCCACAATTGTTGATCTTCGAGGGTTGATGTCTTGTGAGGAGGCTAATTTTGATAGCTTGTCAGCTCGCTGGTTATCTGCTTCGGGAATCTTGTCGATCTGGAAAGATACAAATCCTGATTTCAATCCGTTGACCACAGAGGCATAACGACCAAGCTGAGGATCCCTGATTTCACAGCTACCATTCACTTGTCCCACAACGAGCTGAGAGTTACTAAAAACCTGAATGCTCTGTACTTTTAGCTCGGACTCCAGCTTCAAACCATAAATAAGGGCTTCATATTCTACAGCATTATTTGTTGTCTGAAACTTAAACCTCAATGCATGCTCGGATTTAAAGCCATCTGAGCCCACTAACACAGCCCCAGCACCCAATCCTTCAATATTAGCAGCCCCAGCACCCGATCCTTCAATATTAGCAGCCCCATCCACGTACAGGACCCAGACTGGGTATTAGGTGCCCTTTCTTCCACTGTCGCCGAAAGGCACTCCACTAGGAAGTCCGTAACAACCTTTCTTCCACTGTGCCCTTTTTATGGTTGTGCGCGGCTGAAATTTGAGGTCGTACTCACTCAGCTCGACGCTCCACCCGATAAGCCAACCAGAGAGTTCAGGCTTCTGCAGTATCTTCCTCAACGGTAGATCGGTATAGACAACAATTTGATGGGATTGAAAGTAAGCTCTCAACTTATGAGCTGTGTATACCAGGGCAAAAACAGCCTTTTCTACTAGTGAGTAGTTCTGCTCTGCGCCTTGTAAAACTTTACTCACATAACAAATAGGCTTTTGATGTTTATTCTCTTCCCTTAGCAAAATCGAGCTCACCGCCTCGTCTGTAACCCCCAAATACAGGTATAAACTCTCCCCTTCCTTAGGCTTGGACAGCAGAGGTGCTGACGCCAGATATCGTTTGAGCTCGTCAAACGCCTGTTGACATTCATCAGTCCACTGAAAGTTCTTGGGTTATCTCAGGGCTTTGAAGAACGGGAGACACCTTTCTACCAATCTAGCTTTGAACCTGTGTAATGCAGCCACACGACCTATCAAATGCTACACATCTTTTACGGTCTTGGGAGGCTCCATCTGTTGAACGGCCTGAACCTTCTCTGGATTTACCTCAATTCCTTTCTTTGATACCACGTACCTTAGGAACTTTCCTGATTCCACAGCAAATGTGCACTTCAGGGGATTCAGCTTCATTTGGGTTCTGCGCAAGTTTTGAAATGTTTCATTCAGGTCGTCTATGTGATCCTCAGCTCGCTTGCTGGTTACTATTATGTCGTCCACATATACTTCAATATTCCTGCCGATTTGGAGCTTAAAGACGACTTGCACCAGCTTCTGATATGTCACGCCTGCATTTTTCAAGCCAAATGGTATCATGACATAGCAGTAGATTGCATCACCAGTATAAAAAGCTGTTTTCTCCTGGTCGTCCAACAGCAGTTGAACCTGGTGATAACCCGAACTGGTATCAAGAAAACTCATTCGTTCATGTCTGGCTGCTCGCTCTACCAGCTTCTCAACATTTGGCAAGGGGTGAGGGTCTTTTGGACACGCCTCATTTAAGTTGGTGAAATCAATACACATCCTCCACTTGCCATTTGGTTTTTTTATGAGCACAGGGTTAGACACCCACTCAGAGTATTCAACTCTCCTGATGAAGCCTGCCTGTAATAACTTTTGTATCTTTTCATCTATAGCAGCTTGCTTCTCAGGGCCAAAAAGGTGACGTTTTTGAACCACCGACCTTTTGGTGGGGTTCGTGCTGAGCTTGTGGACTGTCAACTCCACTGGAATGCCAAGCATTTCATCCGTTGTCCACGCAAACATGTCTTGGTTAACCCTTAAAAACTCCTAAAGCTCTGCTCGCTCCTCTTCTGTGAGCTTGGTGCCGATCTTAACTGTTCTTTTCGGCACATCAGGGTTTAGGGGGACTGCTTCCACTGGTTCTATCGACTCTGCTTTCTGTTCGACACCCTCAGGTCGATGCTCAATGTCTGATATGTTCATTGTCTGTTGACCGAGCTGAGTTGGCCTGTGATTTTCAAAAGAGCCTTTCGGGGCTGTAGCGAGCTCAACTTTCTTGAATGTATCTTGATAGTAGGCTCTGGCTATCTTCTGGTTCCCCTTAAGCACCCCTACCCCCTGAGGAGTTGAGAATTTCATACAGAGATGGGGTTGTGGAATAACAGCCTTCAGCTCGCACATGGTGGCTTTTCCTAATATAGCATTGAAAGCTGACTCCATCTTGACGACCAGAAAGCTAACAGAAGCCATCCTGAAGCGTGGTTCTGAGCCCACATATATGGGAAGAGTATTAACTCCCTCAACCGGGACGGGTTGGTTATCAAACCCATATATGGGCCCTTCATACTTCTGCAGCGAGCTCGGATTCAGTTGCATCTTTTGAAAGTCGCTCCAATATAGGATATCTGGTGAGCTACCAATATCAATGAAGACCTTGTTGACGTTATGATTGCCTATATGAACCGTTGCCACAAAAGGGTCTGCATGAGGCATCATAACGTTGGGCTCTCCGTCTGCTCGCTTATAATCTACCGGGCTGAATGTAATGGGTGCATTCTCCCACTCCGCCTCCTCGAATGGCCACTTCAAGGGTCTGTTCTTGTTAACAGTCATCACCTGCTAGGCATATGCCTTACCGCCCCGAGCGCTTTGGCCTCCGAAGTGTATTCCACCCGAGATCATGTTTATTGTGCCCGAGGGCGGGGGTATTCCAGCATAGCCTACCCCTTTCCTGTCTTTTTGGTTTTGGGTGGTAGTCCTCTGTCCTTGGCCTCGCCTATTGAATTGACGGCCCCTGTACGCTCTACCCTGCTTAGAAGGATATTGATTATCCTGATATACGTCCTGTGTGTTGCCGAGGTGGAACCTCTGCCCCTGAGGTCGGTCATACCCCTATACAAAATGAGTTTGAGTTGGTTGCTGGGCGTAAGGCTTATAGACGTATCCTTCTAATTTCCCATTGCGAGCTAAGAACTCCAGCTCATCCTTTAAGTGTTGACAGTCTTCTGTATTATGACCGTATGCATAATGGTAGTCACAATACTTGCTCTTGTCTGCTCTTGGGGAATCATGCAGTGGGGCTGGAGGTCTTCTAATCCAGTGCTGAACTTGTGCTAGGATTTGAGACCTTGGCAAGGTTAAAGGAATGTAGTTGGCATACTTTGGGAAGTCAGCTGGTTTCCCCCACTGCTCGTTGACCTTCTACTTTTTCTTTTCCTCTCTCCTCGGTGGTTGTTCGTGGGCTTTGCTTTGTCTGTCATCAGCTCGTCGCTTGGACAACTGGAAGTCTTCTGACAGTATAAAGCTAGCCGATCTTCTGACAGTATGAAGCTAGCCAATCTTCTGACAGTATGAAGCTAGCCGACCTGTCATTTACTTCTTTCCACGTCTTTGGTGGGTTCTCTAGTAGGTCGTCTAGGAACCGACCACGCTTCAAACCATGCAGTAAGGCAGCCAAGCAGATGGTATCGAAGACGTTATCAATGTCTAAAGTAGCATTGTTGAATCGTTGCATATAGTCTCTCAAAGATTCCCCTTCTTTCTAATGAACCTGCATCAGTTCAGTCGCTGTACGTTTAATCTCCCTTTGGCTCGCAAACTTATTGGAGAATAGCTTGGCGAGTTGGGAGTACAAGTCTATAGAGTGTCTGGGGAGTTTATGATACCATCTTCTGGCCGTTGACTTCAGTGTCACTGGAAACACTTTGCACATCATGGCATCATTGGCATTCTAGATTCTCATGATGGCTTGATAAGTGTGCAGATGCTCATCTGGGTCGCCCGAGCCATCATTTGTCTCTAGGTGGGGGATTTTGAATCCTTCTTGATATGATTTTGTGTGATGGATAGGTTTAGTGGGGCACTATCTAAGTCAAGGGTCTGTTGGTGCGACTTGGGGCTTTTCAGCTCGTCAATGGATTTCTGTACATCTTTGAGTTGCCTTTCGAGGTAAGCATTTTTCTTTAGCAGTTCTTCGCTGTGTTTGGACGAGATAGGCTCGTTATTCAACTTCTCACTTCCCCTTGGTTTGGTCGGCACTATTATGTTACTCAAAGCGGGTGAGTTACGAGTTGCAACTACCGCAACTAGTTGTGCATCCTTGTTCAGCAAAGGAATTAGGGGGTCATCAGGAATAAGGCGGGCAAGGATTTTACCCATTGCCATTTCGAGAACTCTAGTTCTCTTTTCGAGCTCGGTAGTCCGAGCAGGCTCTGTTGACCTTTTAGGTCATTCATGTTGTGAATTGCCTTGTCTGGGATGTCTGTGCCTCGTTCTTGTTGGAATTTGGAATTGTTCAGGCTGGGTTGCATACCCAGTTGGTGTTCTTTCATCATCATCTATTTCACTTAATTGATCCTGTTCTGCTCCTCCAACGAAAAGGTTTCTTGGCATTGGCCTAAAATCATTCAAGCCGGGCTCAGACAGTTGAGTGTCCTCTTGTTCGTCCATTTCATTTCTAGGGGGGCGACTTTTGGTAAAAGTACGAACCATTTTGTCTTTCAGCAGGTTAAGCTACACAACTTCTTGTTCAAGATTCCCACAGACGGCGCCAAATGTTTGGACAGCTTCGCAATCCAACACTGTTGAAGTCCTCAGCTGCTTCTACACCTGAAAATCTTGAGGGTGTTTCCTCGGGGAAAACACTCCGACGCTCAAGTCAGCAATTCTCAATATTCTAGAGAGAGGTGCTCTCAAAGAGTAATTGCAGAGAGAGAAGCGTAATGGAGTTAATACCTTGCATTGAGGTAGTTGGGGGGTATTTATAGCCCCAAATGCTGACATGAGGTCAAACATGTATTCACCTGATTGGTCCACGTGTTACTACCCACGTGGGCATGTCTCCTCATCTTGGGCCAGTGGGTGTATAATTGGGCTATTGCATGTGACCTGAAGTGTGTGTTGGGCCTAATCCCAACAGGTGGAATGTAGAGTAACATTAAACTAGAAGACAGTGACACAAAATAAACTAGTCTATGGGGTACACAGTTCCCAACATATCAGCATAAAGATACATAAGAAGGGTTGAGGGGCAACCCTCCAAAATGACAAAATCCTCCTGCTGGGAATGAGCCATAGCAGCAAGACGATCAGTACACATATTGCCCTCTCTATAAACATGCTGCAAGTGAACGTGAGGAACATTTATTTGTTAAGTTGCAACCGGCCTTTTGACAATGGAGCACAGTACTTTGTTATGGCCTATGGTGTAGGAGACACTGCATTTTCCCCGCTGCATCCTTAGTTGAAACAAAAAAAATAAGAACTTAAAAACATTTTCTAAAATGGGTCAACAATCAATATTTTCTGGTGCAGGTCATTTTCGAGCTCGATTTCACTGGTACAGGTTTAATTTTATGAATGATAGCTGACTGTTTTATATATATATATTT